TATATATATATATATATATATATATATATATATATATAGCATGAAATAAAATTTTGTTTTTCTTTTCTTTTTCTCTTCCAAGAAATTTCTCTTTTTCATAAGATTCTCTCTTTTATTTAACGACGAAACCACTTAAAAAGGTCGGTTGCTATCTAAGAAATGAAAAAAAAGGGAAGAAAAAAACGGGGGGGAGGGTATATACGAGCTCGTATATACAGCAGCGCATTCAGTATTTAAAACTTTTTGCAAAAAAGTCGTTGAAGAGAAAAACGAAGAAAATGTAAAAAATGGAAAGCATCTCAAAGTATTTGGAGACGAATCGTGAAAAAAACGAGGATTTACTTTTCTTTACAGCTTAGCAACACTCATCGGATCTTATAGGCAAAGTGTTATAAATCATAAAAAGTAGCTACTGTCAAGGCTGTACGTTTTGGAGCAAAAAAAGATACCGACGAATATATTGAGTGATATGAAAAGCGTGAAGAAAATTGCCTTTCAAATCATAATGGTTCCGTGGGCAAAATGAAGATCAATTGTATGCGAGAAATGTTTGGAATCTGAGGACAAATTTGGAATTATAGATATGTGAATTACGTTGGAGAAGGTGATTCCAAAACATATAAGTCTATTTTGGATTTTAATCCATACGGCGACAATTGCTCTGTGATTAAAAGTAGATGCGTTGGACATTGATAAACGGATGGGAACGCAGCTCCGGAATGTGAAAAAAAAAGAGAAGCTTGGAAAGGGGAGATTGACAGATGTCCTTATTAAAAAATTAACAAATTATTATGGCTTAGCAATAAGACAAAATATTGATTCGGTCGTCGAAATGAAACAAGCTGTTATAGCAACACTGCATCATTATTTTTACAAATGAACCAAGGCACGAAAATTGTCCTGCAGAAGCCGAAAGTTGATGTGAGCGCAAAGCTGAAGCTAGAGGTGAAGAAAAAAATTATGACCATCCACTTTCACTTATTATATCAGATATCGAGAAATATCTTATTCCTATTTATAAAGAGTTTTCGAAGGAAGATGTTTTAACTAGGTGTTTAAATGAACATAAAGCAAAACTCAAACAAGAGTTTGAATTCTACTATTTGTCGCCTCGCTCCGAAACATTTAAATTCTGGCTAAAAAATTGTCGAAATCGCCACCTTTATTGCCTCATGTACCTTTATTGAAGGCTATTCTGACATTTTGAAGATCATGCAGTTGTTAGGAATAAATATTGGACTACATTGCAAAATATTCGTCGATGATTACGTCAAGCAGCGACTTACAAGGCAAAAGCAGCGCCACTCAAGCAGTTCAAAAAAAGAGGCTCGTACAGTTCGTAGATTGCAATTAACACAACAACTGAATTTTATGAGGAAGTGGAAGGTATATTGTATGGGCCTGAAATAATAGGTTAGTGATAAGTTACCAAAAAACACTACTTTTCGATACCAAAAACTTTAAACATAGTTTTCTCAAAACCACTTTTTCAAAATTGTTGCAAGATAACTCAAAAACTATTTGATCAATCGACTTCGTCCAAATTTTTTTAGTTATATAATTGTCAAACCATTTTAAAAACATTTGTTAAAAAATTAATATAAATAATTATTTCTGCATAAAGAAGTCGAAATTTTATGTTCAAAATCGTAACTTTTTTTTCAAAGTTCCACAATTCTTACAATTTCTTATTTGATATTTTTCTCCTTTTTTTTTAGTTTATTATCTTGCTCGCCAATTAGCAACGTCTACGCCGCAATACAATAATGATTAATATAGAACTTACATTCTGTCAAAAAAGTACCGGGAATTGATCATTTAAAAAGCCCGCTTAAAGGAATTGTCAAAATTCTTTTTGTCGCTAAGTTGGCATAACTGTCCTCTATACTGACGCGGAGCTGGAGTGCCATCTGTCATTTAATGTGATTATCGTGCTCGATTTTATCAGTTCATCTCAAGTGTGTTTTGCGATTTTTACAATGAATGAAAAGATCGAACAAAGAATTTGTCTCAAATTTTGTATTGCAAATAGAATTTCGTGTGCCGAATCGCTGAAGATGTTACAGAAGGCTTACGGTGAATCGACTTTATCAAAAACACGTGCATATGAATGGTACAGTGCATTGAAAAGC